TATACCACCCATGTGAGATGAGTCCCGGAATATGGAATACGAACATGGAACCTGCAGCTTCTTCAGAAGGTATTGAAACTTAAAAGAATTCAGAGAATGGCGCCCAAATTGGTCGCTAAGAAATGGAGTCTGAAAGAGAGAAGCTTGAGAAGATGAATCTTATAACGCTGAAAGAATAGAAAGCTCAGTGGCAAGCAAATCTATTTATTTGATAAGTTTGAGAGGATCATTAGGTGGCACAAATGGAAACTTTTGAACTAAGGGGATACAGGGAAAACTTCTCCAGCATAGGGAAACACACATGATTGAAACGCACAAGGGGAAGGAACTACTGGAGGCAAAATTTCAAACAAGAGTTCAACTGAAAATACGACAAGCTCCACTTGGTGGTTAATCGAATTCAGTCAAAATAGATTCAGCTAATGAGGACTGTGGCAGAAGAAATAAAACCATATAAACTGTACAACACGAAATCGAGAATTCTTTTAGATTCGAAAAAATAGAACTAGACATCACATTAGCTTTATGACCAAGAACTTATTTAAAAAGAGATAGCATCTGTGGCACACGCAGGGAAACACAAGAACAGGATAGCACCTATAACATGGACAGCCACACATAAGAAGATAGCACCTGTGCCATACAAAAGCAAATATAAGAGCAGTCAGTATAAAACGTAGCAAGTAATAACCTAGAACACTGCGGGACCAAATAAAGTGAAGACCGAAAATTTAAGAAAGTGAGATTTGGCAAAATATTAATTTTTAGAAAGAGAAGATATAAGATAACGTAGAAGCCAATTTAGCTGGAAAAATAATAGACATTTTCGCACCACTGAAAGATCTCAGAGAGAAAGCGGACTAGGACTCCTTAGTTTAAATAGGAATAGAACGAAAAGGCACAAACGATGATGTGAAACTTAGATGAGTCTAAGATTCGTAATAAAATATTTTTTAAGTGCACGGGCAATTTGTGTGTTGAATAATGAGAGAGAGAGAGAGACTGCAGACTTACTCCAGTCACAGTTTGACAGTATAAAGAACAAGCGAATTAGGAATCATTGTACCAATTAATTGATAGGTTTAAATCAGGGATCAATATCTACAGTTCGGTTCCAGCAAGTACAACTCGTTGGGCAAGTACTGTAAAAACAAAAATATGAAAATATTTATTTTTCTTATGGAAATATAAAAAACACAATGCAGTGATCTTGGAAAAATTAACATAAATTTTCTGCTTGTCATGCTTTGGCCGAAGCACAATAAAGCATGTAACCTCAACACAACCTTTCTCTTCCCCATGTCCTCTTCTTAAGCAGGCTGAGCCACCACCATCCTACAGTTTCAAAGCAAATAGAGAACCACTATATTCTTTGTATATTTAAATAATTATAAAGAATTGCTGACATGTGCTTTTATAGTGTTATTGGTAACATTTTAAGAGTGCGAAGGAGAAATAGGAGAGAGAGTGAGAGTGAGTGAGAGAGAGAGAGAGAGAGACAGACAGACAGAAAGATTTACAGATAAACATACAGAAAGAGAGAAACAGACACACATCAAGAGAGAGAGAGAGAGAGAGAGAGAGAGAGAGAGAGAGAGAGAGAGAGAGAGAGAGAGAGAGAGAGAGAGAGAGAGAGAGAGAGAGAGAGAGACGGGGGGCAGTGGACGCCATTTTGTCGGAGTGGCTGGAGGGATATCGGGCTGGCAGGCGTGGAGGGGAGGTGGTGGTAGATGTGGGGAGGGATAGCCATTGCCACCCAACCCCTCTCCCTTTTTTTCCACATTCTCTCCCTCTTCTCTCTCCATCTTCCCCTCCCTTCTCTCTTTCTTTCAGTCTCCCGTCCCACTCTCTCTTATCCTTTTCTCTCCCCCCCCCCTGCCCTGTCTTTAATCATTTTCGATTATTGGTGAGGAAGTAAAGAAAGATTATTTTTTTGTATCTGTTGACGGCAGATTGTATTGATTATCTCGCTTGACTCGTCATTGTTTGGGTTATATAAGGTTGGATGAGAACAACATGGGTAAGAGCAGCATAGGTAAGGAGCATGGGTAAGAGAAGCATGAGGTAAGAGGTCCATATGGTAAGAGGAGCATGGGTAAGAGGAGCATGGGGTATGAAGTCCATGGGGTAAGAGGAGCATGGGTAAGAGGAGCATGGGATAAGAGGTCCATGGGGTAAGAGGTCCATGGGGTAAGAGGTCCATGGGGTAAGAGGAGCATGGGGTAAGAGGACCATATGTAATATGAACACAGGTACTACTCGATAGCAGGATCGGCAGAGGCATGGAAATTTCCAGAAAAACTAATAAAAAATTATCTTTCTATTAATTTAAATTGTTAATTGAACTCATGTCAGTGAACAATTATCTCCTCGTCGCCCAATTTGAAAATAATGGAATAGTTCTGGATGCGCAGATTTGTTCTCGAAAACGTACACATACACATACCACACACACAACATACACACTCTGATACACAACATACACACACATACGCATACTCCGACACACAATACACACACACACAAACACTCACCTAGTAAGGAGTATACATATATGTACTGACCTTAATAGGTGAGTACCTCACCTCACCTTATATATATATATATATATATATATATATATATATATATATATATATATATATATATATATATATATATATATATATATATATATATATATATATAGTTAGTAAACAATTTAAATGTTAAAATCTTCAACGAAAAATAATAATAATTATGACAACAATAATAACAATAACATTAATAATTGATATCTCTTGTCAACTTGATCCAACAAAATGTTAGCGTTGTGCGAGGCATTTCGTGACGGAATTTGAATTAAATAAGGCCTACATATTTAAAATTTTAAGAAACACGAATCAAATATCTTAAATATAAGTAATTATGTGACTGATTCTGATTTTTAGATTTTAAAGGAAATATTTTGGTGCAAAGTGAAAAGTTTATTATTATAATTATGACTGTGAGATAGAGAATTTCTAGGTATCTGAGTCACTGACTTGATGAGTCAGTAAATTTGTGAGTCTTAGTCACAGAATATGTGAATCGGTGTCTCTAAGTCCGTGTGTCTGTGAGTCAGTGTATATGTGAATCTGTGAATCAGCGTGTTTATTAGTCAGTGAATCTGTGAATCTTATTAAACAATATGCAGGTCAGTGTGCCTGTGAGCTAGTGAGTTTCTGAGTTTGTAATTCGGTGAGTCGTCTGTTGTCATAATAATACGTGAAAGGCTTAACCCAACTAAATAATAATTAAACTATTTATTTTCTATAAAGTGTGTTCTAGAATGGGTTGTCTCTTAACTGATGGTTTACTTTGGGGTCAAAGTTTTTCTGAATTCCTCAGTGGATGTTGAAATTTATCATTGGCTGCTGTGTACAATTTCTCAGAGGCTGTTGTGTAAAATTCCTAAGGGGCTGTTAAATGTAGTTCTTCAGTTTATGTTCAATTAAATTTTTTGAAATTAATAGAAAATTGTTACAGATTCACCTTATCTTCATTCGATTGACATGATCAGACATTTGTTTTAGAAGCTTATTTTGAGAAACTAGAGGCAAATTTGATTCATATTATTATGTTTAGATTGTAGGAGGTTAGAGGACAGTCTGGAGCATTCGCAGAGTATTCTTACCTTTCAGTACCATACCTGCTTGGAAGATCAGACTGGAGCATTAGTAGGGCATTGCCAGCCTTCACTAAACGTAACGTCGAGAAGTCAAGTTAGGTTTAGGGTTTCGACTTGTTTTATTGAACACTTTAGTAACGCTAGTTAAAAACTATTTTTTCTTTTGAAGATTTCATAAGAGGGCAAATTTCATTTTGGAAGATCATCCAAGCTAGAGGAAATTATTTGTGTGTGTATAGCAGCCAGGAAGACTCAACATGGTTGCAAAACAGACCAAATAAAAAATATTTTGTGATGGAAATATAGATGGAAATTGTATTACTCTCCAACCCAAACTTATCCTACCTCCAATCATCTCCCTCCCAATCCCCAGCAACAACAAAATATGTCGCGAAACTGAGCGAAAAATACAATACTGTCACAAAACAATTGGCATTTGAATTGAAACAGAACACATTTAATTAACAACTGTATTACTAAGAGCAACTTTTAGCACTTCCGAAAAACTTTTTCATCGTTTAACTATCGATGTGATTGTGTTCTAAGCTTGCTGCCTTTCTGTTACTTCCTTGTTTCTAATTATATTGTTTTGTTCCATTGAATTTTCATAGATGAAATTTATAGTTCTCACTTCCTTTAATATTATTGATAATTATAGTATAAAATGTGTATCTGTTTTGGTAGTTTCATAGTCCCAAAGTGAAATATGAAGTGTGTTTTTTTCTTTATATTTAAAGTATTGTTTTTAAAACATTCTTTGTATTTTATGTTTTATAACCTTATGTATGAATGCACTGCATAATTTATGGTCGAAAGCTGGCGTGACATTTAATATAAGTTCATATGTTTAAAAATTATAGCAAACTTTGACCTTTAGGTATACCAGTAACTTCATATATAAATATAAATATAATGACATCATCGCAAGTCCCTCCTCACCCGGGCGTTTACTTGCACTTAGGGTAGAATAGCAGTGAAAACTTTGATAGAATAAAATACTTAAAAAAAAATTTGTTCATCGACTCCATATTCTCGAGATAAGTATACCAAAACGAAATACACCTGCTTCCTTAATTCCCTTAACGTTAATAACATTCTAATAACTCACATTATAATGTATTGATAGGTGTATACTATGTATAGATTGACTTTGTTATCAAACACACAAACTCACACATGCACACTGCTAATTCCAGGACAGTGTACCTTGAACGGGGCTGTAAGAAGGTGTACATCAGTAGTTAACAGTGGTGAACTGGTTAGTAGTTTCAGGACAATTATGTGTTATTTAAGGATCTTTACATAATGGAAAACTCAATATAATTTTCGCATTCTTTTACTCTCTTTGCAGAAGGGGCGGGAACTCTATTCGGTAAGTGATTTTATTTTTTTAATTATAAATATATATATATATATATATATATATATATATATATATATATATATATATATATATATATATATATATATATATATATGTACCTAGTATATAGCCTACTATTCATTTGCCTAATAAGCCAAGTTTTCCTGATAATATATTTACTACTTATTTTTTTCTTATGAAATGATAAAGCAACCCTTTTCTCTATGTATGAGGTCAATTTTTTTTTATTGGAGTTAAAATTAACGTAGATATATGACCGAACCTAACCAACCCTACCTAACCTAACCTATATTTATAGGTAAGGTTAGGTTAGGTAGCCAAAAAAAGCTAGGTTAGGTTAGGTTAGGTAGGTTAGGTAGACGAAAAAACATTAATTCATGAAAACTTGGCTTATTAGGCAAATCGGGCCTTGAATAGTAGGCTGAGAAGTGCGTTCTGGCTATTAGGTACGACATATACATATATATATATATATATATATATATATATATCTAGTCGGAGTTGCCTAATAAGCTAAATTTCCTTAATAAACAATATATTAAGAATTTTACTTTATGTATTGATGTATTTATTATCATTAAATATGAATTATATATTTTTTGTTTAAAATGAGCACAAGCTAATTTTGCATCCTGGCCTGACTTAAAGGATCTCTGTAGTACGGTTAGGTTCCTTCTCGATTCAAAAACAGCAATCCCGGGTTCGAATCCCGGGTGGGACAGAAATTATTGGGCAAGTTTCCTTTCACCTAATGCGGCTGTTCACTTGCCAGTAAATAGGTCCCTGTTAGTTAGTCAACTGTTATGGTGTTGCATCCTGGGAAGGGTCAGTAATTCAACCTTGGGAAGACCTTGATTTAAGCGTAATATATATTGTACAAACAAAAGTTGCCTGTCTTCCGACACAACGAATTATGTGACTTTCATTCGAAATCTCTGCCTAACAAAAATAAATCTGTCCCAAAATATATTAGTAAATAATAGAATCAGTTCAATACATACATATTATATATTATAATATATAATATAAAATAATATAAAAATAATATAAATGCACGGCACATTTTGAGCCGTACTACTTAAACTCAAAACTTCCGATTAAGAAGATTCTTGTATTTCTTTTCGCTGTATATTCGCGGGAATTTTTACAAATATACTCATATATGTTATACGGACATTTATATATATATGTATGAATTATTAAGATATCATTAAGTATTGGTCGAATTTTACTTTCGTAATATAGTACTGAGGAATAAATGACCAATTTAGATCAGGTGAGGTTGTTAAGTTAGTTTTGGTTTAGAATACACGAAATACATATCATTAGTTGAATCTAATGAATGATTATGTGATAGAAAAACTTATCGAAAACAAATATTATTATGGAATTTGTTGGCTTTTTCGGCAACTAAAATGATGCACACACACACACACACAAACATTAAGACATTTTTTGACATTAGAAACAATTTTTTCACTATCAGAGTAGTTAACAAACGGAATTCATTAAGCAGTGATGTGGAGGCTGACTCCATTCACAGATTCAAATGTAGACATGATAGAGCCCAGTAGGCTCAAGAATCCGTACACCAGTTGATTGACAGTTGAGAGGCAGGACCAAAGAGCCAAAGCTCAACCTCCGCTAGCACAACTAGGTGAGTACATAAATACATGCACTCAAATATATATATATATATATATATATATATATATATATATATATATATATATATATATATATATATATATATATATATATATATATATATATATATATATATGCATCGACACAAATGATTTAAGGTAACAAGCCAGGAGTCCAGATCAGTAGTTCTTATAGAATAAGAAGGGAAGTGTAAGGATAAAGGAACAGATGACCGGAGACCTGACCAGTGATGACAGACACTTACAGCCGCCGTCCAGGGAAAGCCTGTCCAATTAGTGGTTTTCACAAGACTTGCCCATTAATGTCTAGGGATCACAGTCTCAGGGAGAGGCAGAAAGAGTCCTGCCGCTGGCCTCATGGGGAGCAAGGATTCCTGCCTTGAGTCCTGTAATGGCCGCCCTGTGTCTCATATTCCCTGGAGGGAACTCCTGGATATTATGTCTTTTGTTATTATGTAGGTGGAGGGCTCGGGAAGGGGAGGGGCTGAGTTGGAGGAGAGAGGGGGTCCATCACAGTCGCTATGGTAACAGGCATGTGGTCGATATTATGGATAAATGACTTTCATTGGAACGAATTGTAATTTAACTGACAGTGTTTTTTTATGCTTATGCCTCAGCGTATAATTAAGGTAGTTAATTTTTATTCTTTCCAGCGAATGGTCAGTTCCAGCCGGGGTGCGAGCCCAAGCGGCAGCGGACGGCCTACACCAGACACCAGATACTGGAGCTGGAGAAGGAGTTCCACTTCAACCGTTACCTGACGAGGCGACGAAGGATAGAAATCGCCCACTCGCTCTGTCTCTCCGAGCGACAGATCAAAATCTGGTTCCAGAACCGGAGGATGAAGTGGAAAAAAGACAACAAACTGCCTAACACCAAGAACGTTCGGAGAAAGACTAATCCGGCTGGCGTGACCACCACCGTCACGCCCAAGAACCAACAGCAGAACCAGAACCAAACACAGAACACAACGCAAAACCCCGCCACGCAAGACCAACAACAGCAACAACAGGCAGCCCAGCAGCAGGCGGCGCAGCAACAGGGGACCCCGCACCCGGGGGCCGGCCACCCCCCGGGTTATCCACACATGGGAGGGGGAATGATGCCGCCAGGCCTGACGCCCATCTCGGCACCGTATCCACACGGTGCCATGAAGCCCGACTACGGCCTCACTACGCTATAAGGCTGGCCAGAGCCGCCCGCGTGGGGTGCCCGCCCTGCACCTCCCCCTCCAAGTAGCTTTACCCGCTCTAGTGTAAACCCAAATCTTCCCCAAATCTACCGGTTTAGTCCACAACATGCAAACGACGATGGTGGTGATGACCCTGGAACACGATTTCCTGCTCCTGTAGGTGCGGCGCTGGCCACTCGGCGGCCCCGGTGTTGTGGTGTACAAATAACGAAGGTCAGCCCGCCCTACCTGCCGGTGGAGCCCCGATGCCCGGGTGCTGACCCCCCAACACCCCATTAATCCCCCATTCCCCACCCATCATCCCCCTGGCTGATGAGTCGCCGCCCAAGATTGTGAAAGAAATGATACTTATCTCAGGGTTGTGTGTGTTTGTGCTGCCTAGATTATACACAAGCCTCATGGATCGCCCCGCTGTGGTCACCGACATTTGAACTCTCCCTATTTTGTTCCCGGAAAAGACATTGGTATGTAGGGATATTTTCAACGATTAAAACTACATAAAGTGATACTTATAGTGAGTCCGCTTTCGGAGCGATAGCAATAGTGTGTTAACTCTCGAGCGTATCGTGCGTGTAGTTTTCCAAAGAAACTCAAACAAAAAACATTATAATAATCGCATGTAGTGGAGTGTGCTTATCTCAGAGTCAGTTACGGATTATCCCGTAGTACATAGTGACTACATAATGAAATTGAATATTAGACAAGGAAATATGGCGAAACTGAAGTAATATTATATTATGTGTGGCTGATTGACAACGTAGGAGTTGTTAGGAAACGGTGGAAGAGAGAAGAGTTGGTTACTTTTAACTAAAGTGTTAACTAACTAGTTAGTAAGTTAGTTAAAAGTAGTTAACTAACTAAAAGTTAGTTACTTTTAAATAGTCTTGAACTATTTGTCAGTTCAAGCACTGGCAAATTTTGAGGAGATAATTTTTCTATTATTTGATTGTAGAGTTGAGAGTTGTGTATTGTGTATACATTATATATACGAAGCTTACGTGTATACACGCACGACACATGTGGCATGTGTTTGGTCCTGATAAGAACACAGAAGTGTTTAGTTTGTGCATACTCGTTGGATCATGATATATAATATTCCGGATATGTCAAACCGGAGAACGCATTCATATGTACACGCACGCACACTCACACACATTTTCACGCACGCGCACAAATATTTGCATACATGCATTCATATTTGCACGAACACATATATTTACACACACACACACACACACACACACACACACATACACACACACACACTGTGGAGTATGCAGCTACAGCATGGAGTCCATACCTGGTTAAACACAAGACAAAGTTAGAGTATATTCAGAGGTATGCCACCAGACTAGTCCCGGAACTGAGAGGTATGAGCTACGAGGAAAGGCTACGGGAGCTGAACCTCACATCCCTGGAAAACAGAAGAGTAAGGGAAGATATGATAATCACCTACAAAATTCTCATGGAATGAACAGGGTGGACAAAGACAAATTCTTTAGCATGGGTGGAAAACAAACAAGGGAACAGAGGTGGAACACATTTAGTGCCCAAATGAGCCACAGAGACATTAGAAAGATATTTTTCAGTGTCAGAGTAGTTAACAATTGGAATGCATTAAATAGTGATGTGGTGGAGGCAGACTCCATACACAGTTTCAAATGTAGATTTGATAGATCCCAGTAGGCTCAGGAATCTGTACACCAGTTGATTGACAGTTGAGAGGCAGGACCAAAGAGCCAAAGCTCAACCCCCACAAGCACAACTAGGTGAGTACACCTAGATGAGTACACACACACGACACATATTGTAAGTGTACTCATAACATGACTCTACCGGCAGGCTCTTACGTGTGCTCTACTGAAACGAACTTGTGTTTAATCCTACATCAAAGAGGTGATTGTCTTAAGTCTGAAAAGGAGAGGAAGGTAGTTTCATATTGCATATACCACCCTACTCCTCCCGCTTTTGTTGCCAGCCCTTCCTTTCTTCAACAATACATGTACATCTACATCTCTTTCAGTTTCTATACGATATCGATACAGCATAATCCTTCTCCTTCCCCGCCAGAGGAGAAAGAGAAATATAAACTCCAGAACTCCGTCGTCTTTCAAGTTCCACTGCAGTAATTCCTCGATTTCGCACCACGTTGGTTCACAAAGCAAGCAGTTTATAGACTAAAAAAAAAGAAGGGGGGCGTCGCTGGAGTTAATGTTGTTTATGACGACCTGTTGAGTCTTCGACCTGACTGGGCGGCGGTCCCACTGACCTGACATGACCTCTGTCCCTCCCTCCTTGCTTGTAAAAGGAGTTTAGGGTTTACAGCCGGTGGGGTCCCTGTTTATTGCTCCCGCGAGGGCATTTGACTCCGGCCTGTGAGCTATCTCTTTGTGACCTGGACCGGACACGCCACGTTAGGGATCGGTTGATGGGAACTGTATTTTTATTGCCATTTTCATATCAAAACTATTGAAGAGGTTGATTGTATTGAGTCTTGCATGAAAAAAACACCAAAATATATATATACATGCATTTTCAGAACAATATACCACCACACGCACACCATAGAATACATATACACAAAAATATCGCAAGGTTTGCGTTCTCTGCTGTAATATAGCAAGATAAGATATTGCAAGACTAAATGTGAGGACGATCGTAGGAGGGTATAGGTTAAGACTCGGAACACAGGGTATGCCGCCAAGGTTCTCATGTAACAGCACCTCACCATCTCTTAATGAGAAGTGCAAAGATAATTTAAATGACTTTATTCTTTACTTTATTGTTTATAATTATAATTGTTTATAATTAAAACTATTATCTTTTTGCTATTTTCATGATTACTATTATTATAATTAAGATTATTTAGATTTGTATTATTTTTATTTAAATCTATTTTTTATATTTATATATAGATTGTTGTATATTTCTTTGCTGTAACGAGTCCTTGTTTAATTACATTAGTCACGAATGAATGGTTATTTTATAAGAAGTTATTTGCAATAACAATGAAATTTACAGAGTGCGGTTACTCACAGTATTCAAGAAAATAAAATCTTAAACGTGCATTAAAATGGTGAGTTGAAAATATGTTAAAAATACAGAATTGGAAGTAAGTTTAAATATGGAATTAGATATATGTTAAAAATACGGAATTAGAAATATCTTATAAATACGGATTAGGAAATATGTAAAACATACAGAATGGGACTGTTCTATTATCTAGATACGACAAGGCAGTGGTTGATCCAAGAACAAAAGTTAGGACACGGTAAAATATATATTAGGCATCAACAGAACAAAAATGTTCTACTGACCCTGGTGGCTGCGTTGTTACCATGTATGGTATTTAATTTGGAAACGCGCGCATACACTTACACAAACACACATCAACCCCCTTCACCACACACACACACTACACACACGCACACACATGGCGGAATCCAAGAGTCAGTGTTCGATCCTGCAAGCACAAATAGGCGAGTACAAACAGGCGAGTACACACACACACACACACACACACACACACACACACACACACACACACACACACACACACACACACACACACACACACACACACACACACACACACACACACACGCACACACACACACACACACACACACACACACACACACACACACACACACACACACACACACACACACACACACACACACACACACGCAAACTCACACGCACACACACATATGAATGATGCAAGTTCGGTCAACTTAAGAACTTCATTTAGTAAATTATTTTATGTCATTATTCGCTTGTATGTCACATATATGTAACCAATTCCTACATTTGCTGCCCCCAGCATATAATCCTTGGCTCTTTATATATAAAACAAAATTGGCAAAAGTATGGAGTTGTGCTACCAGACTTATTTCAGACTTGAGAAGGGAAAAGGTAGATGGATACTCCAATTCCACAAACAGCTTCAAATGCAGATACGACACAAGCCATAGGTTGAAAGGCGGGACCAAAGAGCTGAAGCTCAGTCTACAAAAGCAGGGCTAGTCAACCCAACGATAATTACCTAAAAGCCATGCATAAGAAACCCCAAGGAAGGAGAAGCTCAAAATCTAATCGCTTTTGTGTATTAAAACATCCCATTATATCGTTGTCAGAAATGAAAGATGGTGAGGATATACACACAAAATCTGACAGACGAAGCAACATCAATATAAGTTCTAAGAAATGATATGACAAAAGGAGATGACATGATTCAAGAAATATGTGACTTGCATTATTGGATAACTTGATGCGTGTCCTGGAATTTCTCGCAATTTCTACTAATTATTTAACATATATATATATATATATATATATATATATATATATATATATATATATATATATATATATATATATATATATATATATTCAGGGTACTTATATCTTGATAACATTGACTACTATATTTAATTCAAGAGGATTCAAATTTAAATCTTTAAATAATAGATTATTATATAACATTTTTCTGAGGACTATCCCAAATTTTTACATGACTCGAGACTCATAACACACAAACATTGGAAAAAAAAGTATTATTAAATGGTCTTATATTATATCTCATTACATAGTTTTAGATTGTCAGGGTGTTTCTTCCCCCCCCCCCTCCCCCTCCCATTGTCTCCAAAAAAATTATATCCAACATTATTAGGTGTCTTAAACCAATCTATTAATGTACAGATATCAGATTGTTAAATTAAATAACTTTTTATGATAAAGATATATAAATACAACATTGATACTGCAAATATAATGAATTTCATGAATTTTATTTACATTTGCATGAAAAAGTAAAACTAATGTGCGCCTCATTATAAATTCTTCCTTATTTTTCAACCACAAAATAGTATTTCTAAAAATGTGTGTCCTATCAATGTTTACCACAGAAAATCAAAAGGTGAAGGTCTATGGCTGATTTCACTATCAATAGGCTCTGGACAACATATTGGTTGTGCTCATAAAGTCATGTCATCTCTTGAATATTTACGAAGCTTATGTATATATATAATATATATATACATAATATATATATATATATATATATATATATATATATATATATATATGTCGTACCTAGTAGCCAGAACTCACTTCTCAGCCTACTATGCAAGGCCCGATTTGCCTAATAAGCCAAGTTTTCATGAATTAATTGCTTTTCGACTACCTAACCTACCTAACCTAACCTAACCTAACTTTTTCGGCTACCTAACCTAACCTAACCTATAAAGATAGGTTAGGTTAGGTTAGGTAGGGTTGGTTAGGTTCGGTCATATATCTCCGTTAATTTGAACTCCAATAAAAACAAATTGACATCTTACATAATGAAATGGGTTGCTTTATCATTTCATAAGAAAAAAATTAGAGAAAATATATTAATTCATGAAAACTTGGCTTATTAGGCAAATCGGGCCATGCATTGTAGGCTGAAAAGTGAGTTCTGGCTACTAGGTACGACATATATATATATATATATATATAATATAATATATATAAATATAATATAAATATATATATATAATATATATATATAATATATATATATATATATATATATATAATATATATATATATATATATATATATATATATATATATATATATATATATATATATATATATATATATATATATATATATATATATATATATATATATTGGACGACAAAAAAAATCCTAACAAAACTCTTCCTCGTGTCAATGTACAAAATTCAGTAAAGAGAAAGCCGGAAACTGACTCGAGATGACAACACTCCCTAGTGTGAGTGTAGTGGGGATGTAAGTGGGAGTGAAGTGGGGGTATAAGTGTGAGTGTAGCGGGGTTATAAGTGTGAGTGTAGCGGTGGAATAAGTGTGAGTGTAGTGACGGTGAAAGCATGTGAGTGTATCAGCGGTATAAGCGTGCGAGGGTAGCGGTGATATAAGTCTGCGAGTATAGTGGTGGTATATTTATACTATAAGTGTATGAGTGTAGCTGTGGTTTAAGCGTGTGAGTGTAGCGGCGGTTTAAGCGTGTGAGTGTAGCGGCGGTATAAGCGTGTGGGTGTAGCTGTCTTTTAAGCGTGCGTGTGTAGATTGCTTGATATATTATGAAGCATAGCATCAAACTGCTGTAATCAAAATACATTTCAGTCTTATATTGGTAAATTTTTACGGGTTCTTTCTGACAAAGTTTTTATCGGTCCTTTTCCTTATTCCTATTTATTCGTTTTTTTTTCAACGAATTCATTATAA